TTGTCTCTTATTTACACTTTCAGTTTCTCACATCAGTAAGACAATACAATACTTATATGTGTGGATCTGACTTATTTCACTCAATAATATGGTCTCAGGGACCATGTATTTAGCAATAAACATCTCAAATTTATCCTTCTTTCTGGCAGAGTAGTACTCCATTATATATAGCAGCACAGTTTGCAATATCTAAATCTTGGAAATGACCTAATACCCATCAACTGATGAATGAATTAGAAAGATGTGGTTTTTATACACACACACACACACACACACACACACACACACATATTATCTAGCTAAAGAATGGATCTGGGTGTGCAGAAAAAGAAAGCCTGGCATATACGTGATTTTTTGCTAAATCTGTTTTCTCCCTTCTTTTTTTAAATGTATTTAGTACAGGGTCTACAAGGTCTCACTATGTAGATTGGACTCATAACAATTCTCCTGTTTGCAGCCTACTAAGTACTGGGATTACAGGTGCACACCACCACACCCAGTCTCAATTGACGGTGAGGCTGGCCCAGCAAGACAGGAATTGAACCTCAGTGCTGAACTCTGACTAAGCAGGCACTTTAGTCCACTGAGCTATTAAGCCGGGCCTTGTTTTCTCCCTTCTAAAGAATTCCTTTTATGGACACAAATTTTGCATTTGAATTAGCTTATTTAAAACAAATTTGTGAAGTGCCACTCTGTTGCAGTGTCTTGCGTTTCGCAGTGGCCTTTCCACACTGGCAAGCATCCGCTTCTGCATTCGTACATACGTGTTGAGGACATCCTGGAAGCACAAACTGAAGTTCACATTCCTGTGTGGCATATAAAAGGCCCTTATGACCTATCCTGTTGTCTCCTTTATCACTGTTCCCTCCCTTGGAATTTTAGTGTGGTCACTTTGGGTCTTTCCAGAAACAAAATGAGTTTTTGCTTTTTTTGATATATAATTTTAAAAAATTATCTTTTGTTCAACAATTTAAGGAGCACAGGAACACCTAACAAAGTCAGAAAAGCTTCTTATAACCAGGGTTAATTATCGTAGATAATATTCTTTCATGTGCATTTATGTATCTGCACACATGGGCAAATACGTACCTGTATATATTCACAAACATAGATACAGAGACACACACATAGCTTTACACCCACAGTACATAAACATTGCTTTGCTGTACTCATCTTTTTGTTTAACCTTGCAACATTTTTACCACCTCCCTAGTTAGCAAAACCTAAAAATCCACTCAGGTAAACAGCTGATCTGGTCCATATTACCTTATATAAAGAAATATGCAAATACCATTGAGACTTTTCTTGGGGAACATTTAGAAAATATAGAGTCCCTTTCTGTGTATTTTCTATCGATTTTACTCATTTGAAACTGCATCACCTTATGTGACGTTTCAAGGGCCCAGATGCACTCATTCCTCTCGCCTGTGGCTCCTTTTTCCACTGTGAGGAGCTGTGGGCTCACCTGGTTGCATCTCTCAGTCTCGCATCACTGGGTATTTAGGCCATTTCCAGTCGTCCTTTCATTTCCCCTTCTTTTTGACCCATGTTCACAAGATGCTGTTTATTAATGTAGGAAGGATCAATATTTTCCTAATAAGTTTTCCATCCAAGAATATACACCATAACTCCATTTATCTAGATCTTGCTTTATATATCCTTTAATAAAATTCTATTGTCTTTTTACTTAAATTTTATTACTTCTTACTCATTTTTCTTGTCCAAAAAGTACCTAAAATTTTTCTAGTTATTTTTGTCAGGGAACGTTAAAATTTTTTTCATTTCTCTTTTAAGAAATTTATTTCTACTTTTAGAAAAAGCAATTGATTTTTTGAAAATCATCCATGAAGCTTCCAGTCGGTCCACAAATTCCCTCTATACTTTTGCACTTGGATTCCCAGCCACACTGAACAATTCTAATTCCCCACTCAGAACCTACATAGCTTGGCTCTTTCTGGAAGGTCCCTTCCCTACTGACTGACTCATTCATAGGGTGGAGCTGATCCAGCCCGGCTCCTCCAGGAAGCGCCCCTGGACTGCTTGTCGTTGGCTTCACTTGTGCTTTCCCAGCAACTCTGTAAATTCACATTGCTACTGTTTGGAGCCCTTCTTCCCAGCCATCAGACTCTGTGTAGCTCTCCCATAGTGAACTTTCGACTCTGGAGAGTCATAGGCCAGATATTAAATAGATAATCTCAGAAGCTAAGTGTAAAAAAGAAAAAAAAAAAAAAAGGAGTGGGGAGATGGCTCAGTGGAATAAGTGCTTCCCTGGCAAGCACAAGGGCCTGAGTTCAATCACCCGTTCCAACAAAAAAAGAGAAAAGAAAAAGAGAGAGAGAGAGAGAGAGAGAGAGAGAGAGAGAGAGAGAGAGAGAGGCTAAATGTAGTGTCTGTAACATAGGCACACATACATACACACACACACACACACACACACACACACACACGGTGTAGAACTGAAGAATTGATTGGGAATCATTGTTCAATGTGAGGCCTGAAAGATCTAAAATTTTAAGGATTTCCAAACTTCTGCTCTGTTATTCTTAATGTTTACAAATGTCGCAGATGTAACAAATTCCTTAAGTTCACTGAGCTGATTTACAAACATTTTTTACATGAACATCATAATAATATTGGGGTTTGAACTAGACACAAAAATCTTAACTATTGACGTCAAGTTTACTCAGTGAACTACTATTTATAGAACACAGACTGTCTTTTCCATATGTCTTCACTTGACAAAGGAGTTCAATGGTTCCCAAGAGACTCCTTTTAAGGACAGTAATCCCATGGATGGATGTTCTGCTAGGACCTAGTCATTTCTCAAAGACTCCACGTCCTATCACCATGTGTGTTAGGAATTTTCGTATGTACTTACACAGGGAAGAGCACAATCACTCAGAATACAGTACACATGGGAGGCCAGACATGCTCAGAGCTGTGGACACGATGCCTTGGTGTGCTTACAAGATTCAATGTGGGACTATGCAGTTTAAGAAAAGCATGCAGCTTAAAGAAGGTATTCTGAACCTACTGGTGGCACTGGGCACTTTTAAACACTCCTTTAATGTATTTGTTCTCGCAAAGAGGAACCTACTCCCAGTTCCTCTTTCTTTTAGAGTTGTTATAAGCTCATGCTATGCATTGGTGCAAATTTTGAAAATATCCCCCCATCTTGTAGGAAGATAATGAAAACAGTATTTTCATTTATCTTCTTGACTGTTTTCATCAGATGACTGGAAACATGATGACTTTACAACACATTAACTATCTGAAGTTTTAAAGAAAGTAAATTCATTGCTCCCTGTTTTCTCTCTCTCCTTCAAGGATGAACTGTGATGTGCAACACATTGCCCCAAAAGAGTCTGTGTCATCATCCACAGAGCCTGTCATCATACTACTTTACATGACAAAGGAGATTTCACATTGTGATCATTTTAGGACTTAGAGATGAGAAACTTAATAAGTTTCTGTATCAAAATAAAAAATAAAAAGGGGCTAGGGATCTACTCCAATGTGAAAGTCTCAGGTTCAATCCCTAGAACTGCCAGGAAAAAAGAAAAGAAAAAAAAAGAAAAAGACAGAAAGAAGAAGAAGAAGGAAAGGGAGAAAAGAGACTCAGGAAGGAGCCAACAGCCAAAGAACGCAAGGGACCACAACTAGCTGGAAAAGATAAAGAAATAGCTTCCACCTTCTTCCTTATAGCCTCCAGAGGGACTACAGCCCTGCTAATGACTTGATTTTGAATTAGTGAAACACACTGTGGACTTCTGCCTTCCACAAAAAGATGTGCATTGCTATAAGCCACCATCAAGTTTGTAGAAATGTATACAGCAGCAATACAAACCTAACACTGGGATCAGGTGACCTGGCTCAGGTATGGACTATAATAGGTACTTTAGGGAAGTCCAATGAGGGGAACTGTAATGGAACACCCAACTAGAGGAATCTAAAGCTGAAAAAGCCAGAGACAGCAGGTCTCCACTTCATTTTATGAAAGTTAAGAGTGAACAATGAGGGGCTGGAGAGATGGCTCAGTGGTCTAAAGCACCTACTTAGAACAAGCTTAGCAAAAGCATCAGGGACCGCGGTTCAATCCCCC